CTATATTTGATATAAAATTACATATATAAGGTTAAAAAAACTGTCTGACATTACTTTTAATAGAGACTGTAACATTCATTATATTATATTAATACTTGTAATAAATATTTTACATAATATTTATTGATAAAATATTCATGTAACATTTATTGATTATATAAAATATATAAAATATTTGCATTTTATAAACAAAAAATAATTTATTAATTAATTTTTTTATACATTATAAAAATAATTATTATTTAACTAATTGAATAATTTGATTCATTATTTGCTTTCTTTTTCTTTCTCCTACTCTTTTTCTTTCTGTTTTATTTTGATCTATAATATTTTCATTATTATCACCATTATCATCATTACCATTATTTTCTTCATATAAATCTTCTATATTATCATTACTTAATTCTAAAAAGTTATATAAAATAATTGTACACTCAGTTAATATAACTGCAGTAGAAATCTTTCTAACATTTAAATTTTATTCTTAAGTTTACCAATAGTATTTTTAATTACTACTTTATATAAGAAATGAATTATATTAAATTGAATATGTAATGAAATTTGAGGATTTGTAAAAGGTTTAATTAAAAAAGTAGACAAAAGATATGCTGAATCTTCAAGTAAATATTCATCTTCTTTGATAATTTTAAAAATATTTTGATAAAAATATGAATTCTTATATACTTTAACATCATAAACTGAACTAAACCACCCGATTTCATAATCTATAAATATACCCTTATGGTCTACAATTCCTTGTAATTATATAGAATAACCTTTTTTCTATTTCAATATATTTCAGGTTGTTTTAATGAAGCATTTGCTATTATTATATGACTTATATCTATAACTCCTATTATATTAACCATTCCACTAATATTTTTAAATCCTTTATATATATTTTGCTTTGTTTTACCTACTAGACATTTAACTAAATTTTATTTAATGAAAAAATTGCAGTTATTATTCTATTACAATATAAATAAATAGTTCCTTCAGCAATATCAAATCTTAAACATATTTCAAAAATATTTTCTTTAGAACTAACCCTTCTTAAAAAAACTGCAAATTGTAACTCAACAAAAGCTTAAAGATTGTTACTTTTATTTTGAAAATTTGATGAGTATATAAAATTGATACAAGTTTTTGAAAATTATAAAGTTCTATTCTTATTATTTTTTTAAACCTAATATTATCATATTTTAGTAAAATATAATCATACCACACTTTGATTTTTCTATATGAGTTTTCTCTTCAAAATACCGTATTCCAAGTAAAGAAGTTAATTCAAGAATTACTATTTATTTTCTTCTTTACTTGAATTATCAGAACCTTCTTCTTTTCAAGTAAATCTATTTCTTCTGCATCTTGAAAAGCTTTAATGAAATAAAAAGATAATAAATTTTCTATTTTTTTATATTCAAACATTTTTTTTAGTTTTTTTTTATTGATCAATCTACACAATCAATAAATTAACTAACTTAATCATGAATTTTGATCACAAATTCTGATTGGATATTGAAATTTGTGATCAAAATGCTGATCAACCAGATATAAACTAGCCTATATTTGGTTGAACTTATAATAATAAACTTAAGTAAGTTAATGCTAAATATCATAAATAAATTAGATAAAATAGGTGAATCAGATAAATTCTACATATCTTACAAATCTGATGAATCAGTCTGATTTTGTAATATAATAATTAATTTTGATAATATAATATAAGATCTCTATATAAAATTAAATTTAATGACTTTGTAAATCATTTTTTAGGGTTAATTTTCAATATTAACAATTTTTTTTTTCATTTTTTTTAAAAAATATGAAAAAAAAAATCATCAATAAAAAAATAAAATCTTCTAATTTATATTTATATTAATTTATTAATATGTAATATTATTTTAATATATTAATATACTTTAACGTAAATTAACAAATTACAATTAAATTTATTTTAATAAAATATAATTATTTATTAATAATTTATAATAAATATAATTAATTTTAATATCATCAAAATTAATTAACATTAATATATATATATTAGTATAAATTCAATATATTAAAAAAAGTTAAATTTTATAATAATGATAATTAATTATTAAATTAAGAAAAATTATTTTTTATAATAATCATTAGTATATTATTAGATAAATATAATTTTACCTAAAATCTTTATTATTTTTCATAATAATTACTTTTAATATTTATAGTTATTCTTTTAAAGATCATTTACTAGATTATTTAGATAATATAATGAATCTACTTATATTGAAATCTTATTATATTGAACTATGTATTACAAAACTAATTTTTTTATAATTGATCAGATTGAGTATAATAAATTTATATAATAAAACATTATATACTGCATCTGAACTAATCTTAACTAAACATATATATTAAATCATATATTTGATAAATAGAACTATCATGTGATTTAAAATTTAACTTATGAGATTATGTAATTAAAAATATTATACTATAAATTATTTGCTAACGCAATAATCTTTTTATATAAACACTATTTTAAAAACTAATATTAGTCTTGTATAGTAATACCAACTTTTAATATAATAAATTGATAAATTTTATTATTATAAAGTGATCACATATCTATATTTTTAATAGTCATTTTTGTATATCAAATAGTTTAGCATAAAATATGATTATTATATAGCGAACTCACTTTATAATGAACTAAATCTTCTAGAATAGTAAGTTTATTATATCTAGAGTTGATTGTAAAATTCTTAAATAGCTCAATATTTTTTTTCATTTATATTATAATTTATATACATTTATCTCAAAATTCTTCTTTTAATACCTTTATAATATTTTATTTTTACCATTTTAACTTTTAAATTTCTTATTTGTAACTTCATAAATTTCTTAATTTTATTAATATTTTATTATATAATTTTTATGTAATTATTTGCAATTTCATAATTTAATTAATTAATTAGCATTTATATAATTTAAAATTTTGATATTGCAAAAATGTAGAATACTGACATTAAGATAAGACTGATTGAATTAATTATATTAAATAAATATTTATCATATTTACTTAATAATTATTTAATTAATATTTTCTACTTATAATATAAATTATTTATAAATATATAAATGAAAGACTGAATATAATAATATCAAAAAAAAATTGTTATTAATTTATTATAAATAAATAATTATAGCTAGTTTATAACTAAAATTTGATATATGCAATATTATAAAATTTATAATAAAATTATTATATAATAATAAATTTTATTATAAGTAATTTTGATTTAAGAAAAAAATTTATTATAGACTAAAATCAGTTTATTGTAAATTGTTATAATTATATATTTATTAATTTTTTAATTAAAATATTATTTTTTTCATATTTTTTTTTAAAAAAATTTATTATAAATAATACAGTCAAAACTCAATATAATGAATTTGACATTTAAACTGATCAGACTTTTATTATAAAAAATTTCGTTAACATTATAATGAATTATTTAGTATAATAAAAATTACTAATTTCATTACACAAATATAATTTACTATCATATAATTTTTCAGAAATATTTTTATATGCTTTTGTAATCAATATAAGAATATATGCATGTAATATAAATTCACTTTCAGTATATACATTATAATATGTTATACTATCTAAAAATAAAAATATAATAAATTACTTATTTTCTAATTCTTTCATTTCATTAATAAATGGTCATAAAAATGTATTAAAATTCTTTAGTTGATTTAATTTAAAAATCAAAATAGGAATTAATAAATTTTCTTTTTAACTCTAATTGAAGAATTCAAATTATTATTTATTAACAAAAATAACCAATAATTATCAATATTTTATTTAAATATCTGATATCTATCATAAAATACTATAAATGCAAAATCTCAGATTATTAAATAAATCTTTTTCTAATAAATTTTTATATATATTTCTATCAAAAATATCTTCTAAATTTTTAGATTCAATTTCCTTATTAGTAATATATTAATATCAATAAAGTAATTCTTCAGCTCTTATTTTATTATTATATTGATCTCCAATCTTTTTTTAATAGAAAAATATAACATTACTTTTTTAGATTTATTTTTAAATCATATATTAATAAATTATATAATGGATAACTTTGATAAGTTTCATAAATTTCAGTATAATATATACAGGAATTTTCACAATTATCATAAAATTTTAAAATAAGTCCTGTAATTTCTTCTAATATTTTTTAATCTTATATAAACTAATATTTTTATTGGTAAATAATTTGATAATATTATTATCATATTTTGCAGGCCACAGTAACCTCCTATGCATAATATCCTATACAAATTTTTTTTTGGATTTATTAAGGGTAGAGTCATTCTCATATTGAATTTTTAATATAATAAATGTTCATTATTTTACAGTTTCAAAAACTCAGATTTGTTTATCAACTCAAATATGAGTTGACACGTGATCAGCACAAATAAAAAATAATTGGCTTGGCTAAATAAATTACTGATATATTTGATATACATATCATGATTAAATTTTTTTTTACCTTTGTGTATGCTAAAGAACGCTATATATTTGAATTTAAATGACGGCAAAAGGTAAAAAGAAAGAAAGTAATATATAAGATTACTTACTTATTTAATAAAAATTTTTGACTGTTTTATAATATTTTTTTTTTTCTATTTTCAAATTATTTTAGAATTCCAGATTGGATACAATTTATGCAAAATCATAATTGTGCTCTAGAAAGATTTAAAAGAGCAAATGATGGATATATGCTTCGTGATACATCCAAACCACTCAAAGTTCTTACAATTCATTTAAAACTACAAACAAATAAGGATCATTCCTCCAATCCATATTATTATGCTATTACAAAAAAAAGAAAATATATCAGCTTCTCTGTGGGTTCCTATACTTCCTGGCTATTATGTAATTAGAAAATTTGGAGGTCAATATATATGTTTAGAAATTCAAAGTAATAATGAAGAACGTCTTGTATATAGTTGAAAATTATAAAGATATGGCAATGTCACAAATGATACATTGTGAAACAAATTCAAATTTTTTTGCAAGTATGAAAAAATATATGAAGGTATCAGAAGAAATATTCATTCCTGATATTCTTGGATTACGTGATCCTAATATTATTTATAATTTACAAACTAGAGTTAATTCAATTTATCCAAGCATTTTTAATACTCCTTCTATATTAACAAAACTCAAAATCACAAAATTGACTACTACCATGCAAAAAAGTGTGAAAAACTACTAAAAATTTCATCAGTGATCTCTCAATCGCCAATAATTTGTCAAGGTATTGAAATCAAAGAACTGGGTATGCATTTATCTCCAGAAGCAACTTTAGCACTTGCAGTTGAATATGAATCATTGAAAAAAATAGGTGATGCGTCACGTAAATGAATCAAGTGAGCTGAAGTCAACAATACATACAGTGATACTCAAAAGTATTATATCACCTGAATATAAATTTTAAAATGGTATTTTCTTGTGATTAAGACGGCACAGTGTCATATAAATTATTTATTAGACTTATTATAACTAAGTCTATTCAATATATGAAAATCAGTTTATAATAATGAGATAAATTTTTAAAAAATATTTATTTTTGAACAATTAGGCGATCCTTTTCTTTTGATCATTTTTTTATTAA